TGCGTATAAGATTGGTATTAAGGAAGTAACATTCAGAAGGTAAATCTAACTCGGCTTCACTATCTGCTGGACACGTAGTATTACAGGCTGCAGTCAGTGGGAGATGTGCTGCCCACTTGATCTCAAAACAGTGGGCGAGTTCATCTCTGAGCTGAGCCTGACGATAGGCATAGGCGCTTAGACCCTCATTGTCAGCGTGGTTCCAACTTGAAGTGTGTTGTTCCCAATCTTCTTCTTCCACCATGATGCGTGCCACCTAAGAAAGCAGGACACCCCGCATCTCCTCCTGAAGTAGCTCAACTTCTTCTGCCCATCGCATGGATCTTGCACGAGCTTTGCACCATTCGACTCTGAGACCTGCTGGCAAATTAGCGTCTTTCTGTCGTGACTCACACTCCAGCTTACTATCTTGTACCACTTCATCTTCATCATCCCCGACTCCTTCAACCAGCCATATCCACGATAACTGTCTCGACCTTCACTTTCCCCTCGCTTTGGACTGAAACATCCTGCGTATATCGTCTTCCTCTCAAGAACCCTGTATTTGTTACCCAGCCAACATGTCCAAGTACGTGCGCAAGAGATGAGAGAGCCATGCGAGCTGCCAACTTCTCTCCTGCAAGTGTTGCCCTGGCTTCAACGCGACTGAGGGCGTTCTGCCCGAGTATTCACTTTCCCTTTGGCCACGTATCCAGTCCCTCTTGAAGGTATACATGTAGTCCCGCAGGCGAAGACTTTGTCTGATTTCCTCGAGGGCGTCTCTGCCTGAGCGTGTCGTAATTCCCATTCGATGGTGAGGAGTTGGGGATTACAATATAGGCTGCTGCACAGAGCGGATGGGAGTCAGAGCTGGGAATCCTCGGGATTGATTGTGTCTGAGGTGCTGTGGAAGGCGGCTGGACCCTGGATTCCAAAGCTGTACTGCAGGGTGGTAGAGAGCTTGAATGCACTTCCAAGTATCAATTTTGCATTGTAATGCATTCCGCAGTCATTGGACCATGCCCATTTGCGTATCCGTGGCATGCAGACCCTGCTTCATGATATCTACTTTCAAACGACGCCTGTTTCAAAGAATTAGAATGAAAATTAAGTCAGATAATACATACGTTCGTCTCTAGGTCAATCCCCAATGCGATGAATATACTGGGGACATCAGCGTGCATCGAAGTGTCAGTGCCTTGATGGAGCCAGATTCAAGTTGGGCAAGTTTGAGCCAGACAGCACTTGTGTAACAGCTTGTAACCCGAGTCATTAGTAGCTCCCCATGATCGGATTTAGTGCGTGCTACTCACGAATAACCTTTGCTTCAAGGATTTGTGACTGATGAATCGTTTGGGTTCTCCTCCCAGGATTCGATTTCAACCTTCCAGGCCTCCGTCGTCTCTGGCGCCAGAGCCTCATCAAGTTCTTGGAATGCTGTTGATGCGCCTCATGTTCCTCTTTGGCCTCGATCATTTTTACAAGAAGGAGTGTGGCACCGTCGCAAATACAATATCATACATGTCAGTACCAAGTTGCAGCCAAAACATACCAAGTCCCACAACCTTCTTCCAGTTCCAGTCACCAAAATGGTCGTCGAGTGTTCTCGCCGTGAGCCTGGCCCCATTTCTTGGTACTAGAGGCCACAGGGTTGATATTTGACCATCCGCGTTCAGGGCTTTGCCATCAGTGCGTCCAACATACTTCGAAAAATCAAAGAAAACTTGGTCGACATGTCAGAATGTGTGTGGGGGTGAAATTTTGGAACGAAAAATCTAACGAATGTCGCCAGATGGTCTAGATGGAGGAGTGGCATGTTGACATCCTCTGCCATAGGTCTTGTGCCACTGGCAAGCGATGTTGTACGAGACATTGAGTGTGTCGATGCAGCGTCCACGGAGGGTCGAGAGAACAAAAAATCCATATTCATGATCTAAGTTCAGTCAGTATCATCAATAACTGCCGTTGGTTTAATAAATACCTTTCGCCTTTTTGTAGATCGCCAACGCCATTCGGCAACTTCATGTTGTGTCGTGCACAATCAACGGTCCCAACTCCTGTGGCAGCTAGACCATGAGATACCTTCGTGTCTGCCATGTTCAACCGCATTATGGGATGAACATGTACTTTTCTGTGTATATAGCGGTCAGAGTAAAATATGTAGGTGAATACAATAAAAGCTCACCTCCTGCGGGTTGCCACTGTAGGTTTGTAGATATGCCTTGTAAGCGGTCTCCTCGACGAAATAAGCCCATCCGTGACTGAGGCCAGGGTCCACGCTGTCTTTAGAACCATGCGCCTTTTGAGGCGAAAGTTCGCATCAATTGCTAGAAAGAGACCATACAACCAACTAGTCATCAGTCAGCCAATGAGTATAGATATGGATGCAACCACTTGTACCATTTTCCTTTCGGTGCATCATTCCAATTATCAGGTAGGTTTTTTCCTGGTTGCGGACAAGCTGGGCATATCACAGCACACTCACCACCAGTCCATACCCTCCACACCAGCAGAATCATATCCCCGGCCAGCCCGCTTGAGCATTTTTAGATGTCGCCACTTGCGCACTATCGGCATAAAGGCTTCATAACAATCCTGATGACACGAGTGAGCTGGATATTTGAACAAGAGTAAGGAGGTAGAACACATACCTTTTGTGAGTGAAGTCCTGTGTTGTCTGAGAGTCGTGCAACAGCGTGATAAAATTCATAGCCTGAAAATTTGAATTCAAACGACAAATGTGATATTGTTCGAGGATTCAGAAAGTGGCAGCGGTACGTGGATCAGTCGTTGTTGCCGGGAACCAAGCTGTACGAATAACTGTATTGTAGTGTCTGTGCGGTCTCACAGCCACAGAAATCAAGGCTGATCTCGTGGATTCCATTGGTATCGATGAGAGTGAAATCGTCGTTGTAGGCCCTTTCTGGCATCAGACATCGTTCACCTGTTGGATGACTGAGCTGCAACACGCAACCCTAGCGTCTTCAGTGAGATGGTCACAAAGTAAGAGCCTGTCCACTCCTGTTGAGAATCATTCTAAGTACATGTAACATTTATCTGCTTGATAGCCTCTCACCTGATCTGATGCGAAGGATTTTTATGACTTGCGATAACGCAATCATGGCAGCACACTCTGTGCTGAAGCAATCTTTACAGTGGAATTGTGGAGTGCCAGAGTGACAGTTTCTGCAGATAGTGTCGTATACATAGTCCCCGCGGCCCTCATGTTGTATAGTTCCTGTAAAAAATGGTCCCGGTCCTTGATCCATGTCAAGAGTGGGTGATCCTGGATAGATAGGGCGTCAGTGTTCAACCTACATGTACCATGCAGGCCAAGTCATTGAAAAATACTTACTCCTGCACTGCGCTTCCGCCTATTGCTGTTGGCAGCCTCAGCTTCAATTTCTAGGCCAGGTTCCTGCCCTTCGGGGAGTAATGTCCATCATAGTCTAATCGGCCTCTTCCTCCAATCTCATACTGACCAGTTGTTCAGATGAGGCCAGCAAACTGAGAACATGTGAACTTCGTGCAGTAAAGCCTTGACTTTGTGAGACGAACAGTACCACGGCGTGCACACTTGGTGCACCAGCATTGGGAGGTGTATACACATTGAGTTTCACTCGTTTTCGCCGGTTTCAGATTCTTCAGTGAAGGAGCAGGAATAAGCCAGCTTGGTAATTAATTGGTTAGGACTACCCTCAGGCACTCATAATGCACTCGAGTAGTAGTACGTGTATACTGTAGTAGGTATGAGACATTCATGAACTGTGAGAACAAATTTCCAAGAAAAGACTGAACCGGGCTATAGCCTTCCCACTCTTGTCTCAGAGCTTCCAGAATGTATCCCATTCCATCCATCGAGCAGTCAGTCCTTCCCAGTGCTTGAATCTGGCTATCATACCGCATAGTATTATAATGCATACGCCTATTAATGCATTACATAGTAAGTAATGCATTTCCGACTCTGCTGTTGTCCTGCATGATTTGGGAATCATGCATGAACATGACTACTAGGTATCCCCCTAAAAGACAAAGTCTGTTAGCTTAGTCCTCAGAACTAGTCAACCACCATACCTTGGTATCAAACCTTGGTCCAATAGTTTCAGTTTTCCCGCATTCATGAATCCACCATGTTTTGAAGAAAGTCATATGTGAGATGGGAATCACATAACGACCTAGTTGATATGAGAAGCAAAATGAAGTTAATGTATTGCCTTTCATTTGGCTTATTCATTTGGCTAGAGAAACCCATAGAGAAAAGTTCAAAGCCTAACAAAAACCTATCTAAAAAGCCCGCGTATTGTGTACTAATTTTGTTCCATTATTTCTGAGTTGTTTTCTCTAGTGTTTCTTTACTTTGCTTTTCTATTAGGATGCTCTGACTAATCAGATGCTTCATAAAATGGTACCTACAGGGTATGATGTCATAATGATGTCATAGGACTTCACCTACACTCCTGCAGGTATTTTGGTTGAAAGATATGATATCATAGTGATGTCATAATGATGTCATGTTCCATGGAATTTGCTAGAACATTCCAATGACTCATAATGACTCATAGTGACTCATAGTGACTCAGAATGATGTCATTATCCCACCATGAATATTCTGGAATGTTCTTTTGCACCTGCTAGAACATTCTGCTCCAGTTTTTGGAATATTCTTCCCACATTCTGAAGTCATTACATCAACCTTTTTACTTACATAATATTCCACACAAAATGTATATAGAAGAGCCCCTTCTCCCCAAAAAATAGATCTCCCACTGTTGCATTCAAGAACTCCCACTGAGCAAGAACTCTCACCTAAGAAGCTTCAGTCTGAACAAATGCTGCTTACAAAGCCCATTTCCTTTGTAAGAACTGTCCAGACAAGTGCAGGGAAAGTGTTTCCCTTGAGATTACGTAAGTTTCTCGCGATAGAAACCCAGTTTTGTGAGACCAGTGTTCTCACCACGTAGTTTTACTGACCAACATGAGCTTTGGTCAACGTTGTTATTTGTGAGACCAGCGTTCTCACCAGTATTTGTATACTGACCAACACGAGCTTTGGTCATTGTTTTTATTTGTGAGACCAGCGTTCTCACCAGGTATTTGTATATTGACCAACACGAGCTTTGGTCCACGTAGTCACATTTGAGACCAGCTTCAACAGTTAACCATATATTCAGGAAACCAGTTCAAGTGTCTAGACGGTATATCCTAGACATCCCATAGTTTCAATCAGAGATAATAAAGCTCCGGCTAAGTTAATCTGACTGATTGGTTTAGCGAGCCTCCCAAGAACTCACCGTTATCTACACGAAAGAAGAAAAGTCGTAGACCGTGTTAATCGAGGACTGGCAAGAGTCTTATCCAGTGTAATTGTGGTGTCATTACATTCTTACACGTTTTCATATAAGACCCTCGGTTATTAAGACACCGTATGGACTTTGATGCAATTTCGCAGCTAATGCATTACACCACTTGTGAGTTCCATGGTTACCTGTATTTAAGGCTAAGATATGTTGCTTTCATCCTCTAGCTTCACATCATAACCATCCCGACGATTTACCTACATGGTTCAGATCTGGCTACAGGCTGCACTCAGTCCGGAGGATGATGTCCAAGTCATTCGTGAGTCCCTTCCTATCACTCAATCATCTCACTTTCATTGACTTAGGAATCATTGGGTCACTTGTCTGAATCTGGCTATCAATACCGCATAGTATTATAATGCATTACGCCTATCAATGCATTATATATTAATGCATTTCCGACTCTGCCGTATGGACTTTGATGCAATTTCGCAGCTAATGCATTACACCACTTGTGAGTTCCATGGTTACCTGTATTTAAGGCTGAGATACATTGCTTTCATCCTCTAGCTTCACATCATAACCATCCCGCCAATTTACCTACATGGTTCAGATCTGGCTACAGGCTGCACTCAGTCTGGAGGATGATGTCCGAGTCATTCATGAGTCCCTTCTCTGTTGCTCAATTGAATCATCTGCCGTCTCACTTTCATTGACTTAGGAATCATTGGGTCACTTGTCCCCATAGCTCCGACTTCGTTACCACACCTTCCGAGTCCTCCTATGTGCCTGCAGTTTGTCATGGCTTGAATGTCGACCCGAACGACCTGACAGAAGACATCAATGGTGTGTACTATCCTCTATCTTTGTACGAGACTCACTTTGGTTCAGATGTACTATCTAGGCCATGTGTTCCTTGCAATACGTCAACACTAACTTGTGGGACATAAACAGGACATACGTATCCTTGGTGCCGTCTTACGCGCCTGCTGAGGACTGTGACGACATTGTTTTCTATGAGGAGCGAGGTATGCAAAAGTCACTAATACTATTGCAGATGATTGCCACGTTTATTTCTATCGTGGCATGCTGTACAATAACCAGCAGATGCTAATGCTCCTCCGCCCTTCACCTGTGTCACAAGTGGGCGTTACCAGGGTTTTCAGTGCTGAGTAAGTTGCAGGTTATCGTTATCTTAACGCCTCAACATTAATTAATTTTCTTTTCAGGGATTATGTGCCCATGGTGAAAGGAATTACCAATGCTGTTTTTTCAAGGTGAGTCTTGAGGTTGGGGAGAGAGTGCTGAGGAAGGCAATTGAAAAATCTGACATAGTCAGATTCCTGACACCTTTGTAATAGGAACTGCGATTCATTGGTAACTGTCATGCCTAGTCACTATCATACTCATTGTACTTGACTCTTCGTTCTTTTACATGGCATGCTGTTTACTAACACGACTTCTCTCCAACTCTCACTCCCTTCCTTGAGAAGGCAGTTACTGAGTGAGGGTAGCTGCGAGCACCGTTTGCACCCTTGTGCAATGAACAAAAGGCGTGATGTACAAACACACTGAAAATTAGTGAGGACTACGGGAAAGAGGCATCCCGGGTAAGAAGTCGGTGTTTGTTTTGAAAAGTTCATGGCCAAGCTCGAGGAATTCTGTATATGCACACATCCGCGTTTGTTAGCGAGAATGATTCACAGATGAAACGAATTACCGTGCTCTACAGAGTAACTCAATATGTTGAAAGCCATGGAGTTTTTAAGCGTCGTGCCTGCACCAGACTTGCCCCCGCCAAGCTGCTGTATCATTTTAGTCACAGCCATCCGATCCTGCCTGCCTGTGCGATTCTTCAGATCTTGGTGTTCACAATAACCGCCACCATATCGGAGTTAGACATGCAAATTGGCATGCAAGATCTTGAATGTAAGATGAGCTGACCGTAGCTTGTGGGAATGACATCCATGATAGCTGGTAGTGAAAGGATCAGTATTTACAATTTTAATACAAGAAGGGAGATGGAAACTTGCCGTGTGCGATTCTTTAGATCTTGGAGTTCAGAACACTTGTCTTGGGATCATGAATATGCATGATGACAGCTGCAAAACTTACTCACTGGGAGACGGTGACATGATAGAGCACATTCAAAAGGCTCCCTTCAAATAGTGCAGTGCTATAGATATAAGCAATGAACGATGTTAATGTTTGAACTGTGAACGAGTAAGCCAAGTTACCACTTTGGGATGACAATTCTAATTACCGTCATATAGTACTGGCTCCTGTAGACTCAAGGATCTCCTGCGACTCTTGAATGGGTGTTACATACCATTCATGTGGTGCTAAATCGATTATCTCCAACTATTGTTCAAACCATGTAGGCAGCACAGACGCCTGGCAGTGTCAATCATCAGTATGTATTGTCCGGCATCAACTGATATACTTCATTCTGTCACAGTCTCACTGTTCATACTTGCTTCTCAAATAGACTATCATGATTGTCATCGATGTTATTTGAACATGTCTTGACCCAAACACCAGTCTTAATCACGAGTATGTACTGTCTAGTATCAACATATGCTTCATTCTCATCTCATTCATACTTGCTAGCATTGCCAATGATATTTGAACATTCTTGACCCAAAAGCTGTGCTCAAGATGATCCTTGATACAATGGGTGGCGTACGGTGCGTCTCTCTGCTGTCATTTTCTGCCTGCCGTCAATATGTCTGAGTAGTATAGGCTAACAAATAATGGAAACCTGATTCTCCATCAATCAATACTGCGGCACATCAGAAGAATTTGAACTCAGTCATACTACTCAAGACGAAGAACATGGTGATGGTTATCATCCTTCAAGTTGGTGTGTTCCTATGGGTCCCACCTCTTTTCCCACTGATGCACGCACGACCTCTGCTTTATTTCACGGCGTTCAGATGTTGAAACCTGTCTTGATCGTGCATTACTTTCCCCTCTAATGACTATGTTGATAGATTTTCAACAACAAAATTCTGGTGTGTTCCTATGGGTCCCACCTCTTTCCCACTGATGCACAGCACAATGACCTCTGCTTCATTTCACAGTGTTCAGATGCTGAACCCTGTTTGATCAAGACTCCATTGAATGCGACAGAACACACTCGACTACCTTGCAATGTTTAACCATCCTGGAGTGCGTAACCTCTCGTTAGAAATGAGATCAGTCAGAGGTGTGCATGTGCGCATCATTGATTTCTCAAAGTCTAACTTCTCAGTACATTTGAATGCGACAGAACACACTCGACTACCTTGCAATGTTAATCCATCCTGGAGTGTGTAACTTCTCAGTTAAATGGGATCAGTCAGAGGTGCGCGTGTGCACATCATCGATTTCTCAAAGTCTAACTTCTCAGTACATTTGAAAGCGACTGTATCTCTTGTATTATATACAAACTGTTTCATCATGTACAGTGAATTAAAGACGTTTCCTCGTGATCCCCATATACAAGTACATTTAATGGATTTTAGTGCACAGCATGTCAAAAGCGAGAACACGAAGAACACTGTCTATTTGCACAGACAATGCTAATGTAGTATTCCTGAGTTGCTACTGTAAAGTCATAGATCTGACCAAAGGGGAGTCACACTCCTTGTATGTATTAATCAAAACATTCGGCCCAGTCAGCCTAGCCTGGGCACTGTGCAATTCATCTATTGATGCCATTGAACTTCTGCTAGACGACAGATTGCGAGACTCGCACATTCATTCAGGTTGACTGAAAAAAAGTAACACTGGCATTGGTCACGAACAGGGGACAGAGTAGTTTCACTGAGAACTGGCCTTTAAGACGAACAATTTATTTTCACCTTCATACTAACTGCGGGTCTACCATCTCCTATGCACCCCCCCTCCATCTACTCATCAATGGGTCGTTGTGGGCCTAAGTCTTGGGCTAACACAGAACAATCCAAATTCCTGTTAGACAGACTCGGTCAGTATATTGCCTGTAAAACAGCAAAAGTATACAAGCCATTCATCAATGAAACGTGGAGCATGTTCGAGACACGATGGCCAGAGCATAATTGTTACTAATAACAGTGTCCCTGTAGAGGGAGACCTCACAGAGGTTTGAGATAAAAAAGCTAACCGCAGTCAAGGATAAGCGTAAGCTAGTAAGTATTCAACACATAAAATACGCTGCATAATACTAACCTGCATGGCCTTTCAGATGATCAAAACGTGGTATAGATGGCAGACAAATGTCGCGTGTTTTAGCCCGCTCAGGGCGATTGAAAGGGGCACTTGACCTCGTGAAACTCTGAGCGGAGGAGATGAGGTGTTGGGGGGCGAGCTCCGCAAGAAGTAGAAATATACTCACAGATTTTCTACAACAAGCGCGTGAAGGGGGAAGCAGATGCGGCAATCAAGGCCGAGGGTCTTCTTACACGTGGCAAAAAGCTTGCAAAACGGAAGGACGGCCACTCGTGCCAAATATGCTGCCAAAAATGATAGCATCAGGACTGAGGTCCAAGAAAAGCACCAGGAAGCTCTTACGAACTGGAAAGAAAAACAAGAGCTAGCTAGAGCTGGTTTTGTTCAAGATGTTGAACAAGAGGAGAAGATTAGGTACGTCCTGATTCATATTGGAAACTTGTTCTCACCTACAAATGCAGGGCCTTCAATGAACTCGAGGCACATCTTGATCATGTCTTCCGCCACCTGTCCCACAAGACGGGTGGACTTAATTCACCTGTATTGCTGGAGGACAGAACCCAACCACAGGTGAAATTGTAGTTCTTGAGTAAGTATTGAATTTGCACATGCTGGACACTATCAACTCACTATAATGCAGCTACCATCTCAGAGAGATGGAGGTGGGGAGCGAGTTTTCACATATTGCAGTAACATATCTCCGTATTATACGAGTGGACGGACGTGCATAATATCCCGTATGATACGGGCCAGCGGACCATGGGCCGAGGGTAGATATATCCTCGACTGTGACGGATGGGCCGGGAGTGTTATTATTCCCGATGGAGACGGGTGGGCCCAGGTGGGGAATATGTAAAGTAGATGGGTGGGCCGATGGACATGAATTTTCAATAGACGGATCGGCCGAGGTAGTTGGATATTATGTAGATGGGTGTACCAAGGTAGATATGTATCAAATAGCCGGGTATATCAAGGGTGCTTGTTATCACATAGACAGGTGGGCCCAGATATATATCATATTAGACGGGTGGGCCGACGAATTAATATTATTTTGTAGACGGGTGGGCCGAGGGAGTGGTAAAAGATGTATTATATACAGGTGGGCCGACGGGAGACATATATTGCATAGATGGGTAGGCCGACGTGGGGGTATATAAGATAGACGGGTGGGCCCAGGAGAATGATAATTGTAGACATGATGGAGCTCAGCTAGTTGTATATCATCCAAATCAAAGGAGGTGATTATTCAAAGTCATCTAATGATGTGGTATGGCACGGAGCTTTGCAAAGGGGTGAAGTGGAAACTCGAGCGAAGTGTACCGAGTTCCGAGACCCGGGTCTCGACAAACAAATATGTGATGTCCAGCACACTTCCGATCATCTGGTATCTCATTGAGCAATGGATGATAATAGATCTTTGAAAGCCAACATCATCCAAGCCTACCAAATGCCAAATGCCAAGTTCCGACCACCGAAAATTGAGTGAAGTGTACCAATATCTGAGCCCCAACTATCGAATCCCGAAAATCGACCATCGAGTCCCGACTATCGAGTCCCGACTACCGAGTCATGAAACCCGACGCCTGACCATTGAATCCCGACAATCGAGTATCGAGTCCCGACCAACGAGTCCCGTATATCGAGTCCCGACCATCGAGACCCGAGACCCGACCCGAGACCCGAGACCCGAGATTCGAGACAAGTTCCAACTATGGTGTCCCTGGGTATCAAAATCGAGTGAAGTGTACCGAGATCCGAGGCCCGGGTCTCGACAAACGAGTATCTGACATCCAACAGACTTCCAATCATGTGGTATTTCATTGAGCAATAGATGATAAGAGAAATAGATCTTTGAAAGCTCAGATCATCCAAGGCTCCCTTATCTGATCCTCTCAATCTCCACCCCCTTTAACACCAAAGTGCGGACATTCAGGATTCAGCTTCTGATCTCACAAGATCAATTCAATCATGGATGTTTCTTCCACTTCCGATGATGAAATAACCCTCTTGCGCACTTGGGCCCTGACTGTCACTCATGTGGCATGTGATTATACGGAACAGAAATTCAATGCAGAGAAGACAGGAGGAGACCCAGTTATACCTTCTCCAAACCTAGACACTGATCTGGTGATGGCTTGTGATCAATTGGTTGATCGGCTCATAAAGGCATATAAAAATCCCAGTGAGTCTTCCTGCAGATTCGGAAAATTCGTTTTATCAGTCAAATTGCTTCATCACAGTTCAGATGCCGATTGATATTGCAAGATATAGCAAATTGATCTCCCCAAAGGACACGGGGCGTAATGAAGAGAGAGAGGAAAAGTTGCTTGAGAGGTGTCCTCCTGGCCATGAGGGCACAAAGTTGATCGACATACCCGCGACAATTCTTGATGCATCCGGTGCCATCATCGCATGGTACCTCCCAGACGCCTTGACCGATGCCACCCAGGTGTGTTATATATATTGTGACTGGATGGATATTGAACATCAAATGGTACGTACAGAATGAAATTTGGGCGGCCTCGGATTTGCTAGCTCCCATGCTCGAACAAAGCATAAAGCTCGATGGGATTTGGCGGACTAATCAACAGTGGTTCACACCAAGCTCGGAAAATGATGTCCTAACTCCCGGATGCGTTAATTTATCTCCGGCATGGTTTCAGCAGGGGCACGAGGTAGGATCTGATGAGATGGCGATCTCGGTAGTTAAACTCACCAATCCCATAGAATCAGTCCGATCCGGAGGTATCTGCATCATTGAAGGGACCATCCTCCGAGAACATCCTCAAAGCCATTGCGAGGCCAGCAGCCATTGCCACAGCGGCACTCAGGGTGATGCATCCTGAGCAGTACTGGGCAGGGTTGCAAGCCTTTGCGAGCCTCGGAGAAAAGGCACGAAGCAAGGAACTGCCGAAGATGTCAGAGACTCTCCAGTACTGGGCAACGGTGTTTAACAGCCTCACCGTCATATGCAATCGGGAAACCCCGAATCATCGAGACCCCTCATCGATTTCCGAATGCTTCGATATTCTCACTAGCGTGGGGAATTATTCTAATGCTCGGATGAGTATGCCAAGCCTGCAGCTGGAGTTAAGGTACGATCCGGGGTGCATGATTGCATTTTCGGGAAGGATTGTCAGACACGCGGTTCATGCAGTGGAAGGGGATCGGATTGCCTGGGCATGGTATATGAGGGATGCTGTTCATGTTTATGCTGGGATTCCGTCGTGTGGATGGGCAAGGTTGGATTGGAAGAAGTAGAAAGGTAGTTACCCGTGTTAGTACCCACCTTCAAATACATGATACTAGATGTCAGGCACTCCATACTCAACATTCGGGTTTCGGGTCTTGATAGTCGGGACTCGATATTCGATTTCACCGACTACCGAGTACCGGGTTTCGGGTTTCGGTACACGGTACCCGGTACTTGATAGTCGGGACTCGATATTCGATTTCACCGACTACCGAGTACCTGGGTTTCGGGTTTCGGTACACGGTACCCGGTACTTGATAGTCGGGACTCGATATTCGATTTCACCGACTACCGAGTACCGGGTTTCGGGGTTCGGTACACGGTACCCGGTACTCGGTGATTCAAGAAAACAACTCCCAAAATTGATGAGTGTCATGTTTTGAGTGTCGAATCTCGGGCTTCGGGCTTCGTGTTTCAGGTCTCGATAATAGGGACTCAATACTCGATGGTCGGCACTCACATCTCGGGCTTCGGGAGTCGATTGTCGGGACTCGGGTTTCAAGACTCGGTAGTTGGGACTCGATAGTGCGGATTCGGGTTTCAAGACTCGGTACCCGGTACTCGGGTTTCGGTACTCGGTGATTCAAGAAAGTGTCGTGGTGTTTGGAGTTTTGATTTGTTTCGTGTCGAATCTCGGGCTTCGGGCTGCTTGGGTTTTGGGTCTCGATATTGGGGACTCGATACTCGATGGTCGGCACTCAAATCTCGGGCTTCGGGAGTCGATTGTCAGGACTCGGGTTTCAAGACTCGATTGTCGGGACTCGATGGTTGGGACTCGATGGTTGGGACTCGATAGTCGGGCTGTGGGACTCGATTGTCAGGACTCGGTGGGGACTCAAAACTCGCAACTCATAGCAATGTTCGAGTTTCAAGTCTCGTCTCGAATCTTGGGCTTCGGGACTGGATATCCGGGACTCTATGTTTGGGACTCAATATTTGGAACTCAAGATATCTGGATCTCGATGCTCGATATTTGGTATGCAGGACTCAGCATATAGCAATAGGTCAGATATTCGAAAGTCAGTATGTAATTTTCAGTACTTATTTCATCATGTACAGAATTTAGACTTCAACATTCTGAACTGAAGGACTAGAACTACTCTGGTCCCCTTGGGTTCAATTTGGTTAGGACGGCGGTGTACATCTGAATCTCTGCCATCTTTTCACGGATGCCAGCTTGTTGATCCTCAATCACTGTCAGGAGGCGTTCCCTCATCCACCTCAGTGCCTTCAGCGTTGCAAGCGAGCTTTCATCCACCTGCTCGGGAACAACAAGACGTTCGTCCTCAACGCCAGACTAGAAAGGATTAGTCATCACTCAAGGAAATTCTGTAAAAGTCTTACTAGCCAATGCTGGTAGTGACAGACACAATTAGCGAATACCTGATCCCATGGCCATAATTCGTTCGGGATGGCAGTTGATCCGGTCCACCATGGAGTACCATAGGTGGATACAATGCGGGAGGGATCCCCCAGATCTGCAACGTCTTGAAACTGGCATAGGTGGGATGAAAAGATGTGGTCCGGAACCATGTTCCAGGTGAGCTCGGGAATCAACTGAAGAATATGAGCAACCGGGCTCGGAACAACCGAAATGATGTTCCTTGCAGCTGAGTACTGCAGGATGGGAGTCACAAAAGTCTGTTGGAAATGTCAGCATTGACCACCACAGTCATCAGCCTCTTACAGCTATCTCCCATTGCAGCCCGGCTTTAAAGTGCGTGATCCGAGTAGCAGATGGCTCCTGGGTGTGGGCAGCCTCCATCTGATATTGAGAGATGGACGCTCGGATGCGAGATGCAGCCATTGACATTGTAGCTGCAATATCTGCCTGAGTGAGTGTGAGGGGTCGGAACCCATTGCCGGAAGTCTGAGAATTAGAAGGGGATGTTGGGGGAGTATGCAATACAGACATGGTTAATGCAGGATTATGAAGCTGGAAATGACAATGACAATGGCAGTTGGTTCGGAGGTCAAGATATGAGCCACTGGTTGATTGATAAAAATTTTCAAACTCCGACATGGGTCGACCCGGCCAATTCCCGGGACTAAAATGTTTGGGTCAAAGTAGCTGTTTCATATCGTTGGCAAAAAAATTTCATTCATCTCGAGCATCTATAAACCCGGTCTTCAGGTCTTGAAATGCTGCCTGGGCATCCTGTGCCAGCAATGAATACATTTGGGATTGCCTTCCCGAGTAGCATGCATGACCCGGAAGGTGTTTCACCAATGATTCGCGCATCCTGTCACCCCATTGGGTTGCTTTCCACAAGAAAAAGTTACATGTCCAATCCATCTCCAATTGGACCAACATCATTTCTTCCTTCCATCGATCCCGTAGTGCCTTTGCCCGGAGCCAATGAACTCGGTAAACTTCGGATGACTCCGTCAGCTGAGTGCGGGACACATCAAGCATGCCCGAACTCACATTCCTCATTCCACGAGTGATCGGGACCCCCAAGGTCGACTTCGACTGACCAGAACCAAGCGAGGGACTCGTTTCGCTGACCTCGGGCATTTGGATCGCCGACGGCAGTGCTGATTTTGAGTTGCTCTCGAAGCAGGGGTTTGTATTTCTGAACCTGGTCTTGCCCTGGCTCCAG